TGTCCATCCTACCTTCATGAAAAGCTTCTTCTGTCCATCCTACCTTCATGAAAAGCTTCTTCTGTCCATCCTACCTTCATCAAAAGTTTATTTTGTCTATCTTACCTTCATCAAACGCTTCTTTTGTCCATCCTACGTCATCCTACCTTCATGAAAAGCTTCTTCTGTCCATCTTACCTCATCCTACCTTCATGAAAAGCTTCTTCTACCTTATCTTCATCAAACACTTCTGTCCATCCTACCTCATCCTATCTTCATCAAATGCTTCTTCTATCCATCTTATCTCATCCTACCTTCATCAAATGCTTCTTCTGTCCATTGTACCTCATCCTACTTTCATCAAACGCTTCTTCTGTCCATCCTACCTCATCCTACCTTCATGAAAAGCTTCTTCTGTCCATCTTACCTCATCCTACCTTCATCAAATGCTTCTTCTGTCCAATGTACCTCATCCTACCTTTATTAAAAACTTCTTCTATCTTACCTTCCTCCAAAGCTTCTTCTGTCCATCCTACCTCATCCTATCTCCATCGAATGCTTCTTCTCTCCAACCTACCTTCATCAAAAGCTTCTTCTGTCTATCTTACCTTCATCAAAACATTCTTCTGTCAATCCTACCTCATCCTACCTTCCTCAAATGCTTCCATCTTACCTTCATCAAAAGCTTCTTCTGTCCATCCTACTTCATCCTATCTTCATCAAACGCTTCTTCTCTCCATCCTACCTTCATCAGAAGCTTCTTCTGTCTATCTTACCTTCATCAAAACATTCTTCTGTTCACTCTACCTTTACCAAAAGTTTCTTCTCTCCATCCTGTCTTCATCATAAGCCTCTTCTCTCCATCCTACCTCCATGGATATGCTTCAAAACACAAAACCCATCTTCTCTACCTTCACAAACTATTTTCCTGACTGTCAACGTGCCCCCAACAGACACAGGACATTTGTGGACCTGCGCTAGGGCCACAGGTCCTCGTGGAGAGCTCACCTTGATGTTCTGGGAAAGAAATGTCTTTCTCTTTTCACACGAGAAAGCCCATCTTTTCCTCTCCTCTCCCCTCCCAAAGCCTGTAGCTGACACATCAAATTGACAGGAACAGATGGAAGAGGCGGGGGGGGGGGGTTGAGCGAAGAAATAGCAGCTTTGTGGGATCCTCGAGTTTAATAATTTACCAAACTCTAAGGCACGCCAGAGAGAATCTGGGAGGGGGGCCTGGGGGTAGGGAGGGAGCTGGGAAAAAAAAAGAAAAAAAAGAAAACGAAAGGCTAGCTTCCTTTATGGAAATGGAGTTTCCAAACAAGGAAGAGGAGCGGAGATTTTACAAAATGTGCAATTAAAAGAGATTTCGTAACCCGGGATGGGGTAAAAAAAAAAAAAGTTGATAAAAAGCACAGGGCTACAGAGAAATTCAGTCTGAACACTCTGGGCGGGTCTCTGTTTTGTAGGAAACACCTTTGGATGCTAGAAGGACAAAACTCTTAAAATATTTTCCCGTCTTCCTGGTCTACACAGACTCGTATTTTGCTTTCCCAGCTAAAGGCTAAAACTTTTCTTAGAAATCCAACTGAACATACAGCTATAATAATGCTAATTCTGCTAAAGTTTTTCACCTAATGATTGGCGCATGAGAAGCAGAAACAATAGGATGGGAATAAAGCCAAAAAAATGTAATATATTATTTGCAAAATAGCTTTATTCAGAACCAAATTGATGCTAATGGCGGTACAGATATCTATCTATCTATCTATCTATCTATCTATCTATCTATCTATCTATCTATCTATCTATCTATCTATCTATCTATCTATCTATC